TACAGTGGAAAGTCGCGTATCCGGAATCGGCGGGACTTTCCGAAGTCCGGATAATCGATTTTTCCGTATAATAGACCCCCAAGGTAAACAGAGATTAAAATGATCTGAATCTAAGAAGCAGAAATTAAATAACATTATTTTTCGGGCAATAATGTTTTAGTATTAGAATGATATCTAATCAATCAAAAACAAAATATTTAAAAAAAAATAATTATTGCTATTATAAAAATAAATATAGGAAACTAAAAAAATTTACAGTTATGAAAATATTAATTGCTCTCTCCGCCATTTTGAACTAGAACGTTTCAAGCAAGAAGGGGAAATTCCCGTCATTCATTCATTAAGGTGGGTAGGTGAAGAAGCAAAATTCATTTCCTTCTTACTTGTCATTCAAGTTGAAGGGGGGGAAGTGACAAGTTCTTATTTTCTCTCCTGTCATTGGCTATCAATCAAGCATAAAGGCGTGGCATGCTGATTGGGTTCTCTTTATTTTTTCTTATGTGACTAAAGGGGATTCCCCCTCCACTTTAACATTCAAAACGGTTCCAGGAAATGCTTCTTTTACTAGCCAGCTGCATAGATAGAAGGGGGAGGGAGGGGACTCAGCTGTGCTCTTTTGAAAACAACCCCCTCCCCTGCATTCCAGAGGAGGAGCGTCATGGTCTTAGTAGATCTTCTGTTGATTTATGGGTTCAATGGATCTCTAGAAGCTGAAAAGGGGATAAACCTGTCAAAAGACTTAAGGAGAGAGGAAGATGAAGAAATGTTTGTTTATTTTGATTGTTAAAAAGTGTCCGGGGGAAATCGACCCTTCCGGATATGGGACGTTACACTATAGTGAGTTTTCGAGATAACAAGTTCAAAACTAAATATGTTCTAAAAGGTAGAAAAATATATTCTAAAATATTACTCAAAAAAGTAGAGCCATGAAACATAAATAACAAGATTTCGAGAAGAAACTCTTCAACGTAGGAATTCAAATTAACATTAGGTGGATATATAATGCCAAGAGGGACAATAGTTTTTCTTTGGCATAACAAGATTTTCGAAACATTGAGAGTATAATTTTGAATTAACATGAGATAAAATTGGCCGGACCTGCAAGAAAACAAATATGCTAATGTAACTGGCAATTAAAACAGCCCTAAGACAGTTGCATACCTGTAAAGTAAACTTCTATTTTTGAAAAATTCTAAAACAAACTGCAGAAGAAATTACTTAAAATGCAGAAGATTTTACACACTTTCAATTTTTATTCCTTGTTCAAAGAATCAACAGAACCGTAAGTGGAATATAGTGATCACAATTGGAATTTATTGTTTCAATACAATTAGCTCAAATAAATATGAAATCGTAGAAAACAACAATTGTTTTTTCTGTACTATCAGTCACTTTAAATTTCAGCTGTGCAATAATTAATGGACTACAAAATTAGTCAATCTGAAATGCAATGAAAATTCAAGACATTATTAGATATGGGAAGAGGAGAGGGCCTATCTTTACATACATGTGTATACATAAAAAGTTCTAAGACTGTGCAAAATTTTAAGTTTCACAATTCAGAAAATTTAAATCTCAATGTAGAAAAGTTAACAGCTATGCAATAAATTAACAGTTAACACATTACGGAGCCTAAAGTAAAATAGCAAACTTTCTTTGTAAAAAAGACCTTAATATTAATATGAAATATAAATAAATCAGAAATTTTTTTCTTCTGGATATCTTACACTTGTATCAATATATTCCTTAAGGCGATTGAAATCATCCAAAGCTGCATCCCAGTTTTGCATGAGAATTTCTGCAGCCAGCTGGCCCCACATTGCATTCAAATAATTCTTATCCGAGGAGGGTACCTAAAAAGAATACAAATAAAATTTAAAAGAAGTTTTAAAAAAAAATATTTTTAAAATGTTTATATTTATATAAAAAAATGTTGAAAATGCAGTGATGCAAATTTGTGAGCATCTTTAAAGATCTTGATTTAGAACATGTTTCTACTAGGCTTTAGAACAGATTTTTCTTTTACAAAAAAACAAAATGCTTCAATCATAAAATTATTGAAAAATCACAGGATTGATAATAGTATATTAAATTTAAAATATTAAACAATCACTATAAGTATTTAAACAAAAATGCAACAAGAAATTTAGAATAAAACATGAAACTCTAAAATATTCTAATCTATGTAAATTTTTTCAGTTTTTGTTTCTTTGAGTTTTTTTTAATATATTTAAATAAAAGTTTCGGAGTAAAAACACAGCCTACATTTTTAATATGACCCCCTACAATACTGTGATCTTTCTATTATAGCGACCAATACACATCATATTCTATAAGCGTAATGTTATTTTAAAGACATTAAATGTCTGAACTGTATTGTTCATTCCAATATAGCGACTGAAAATAACTTTGTTTTATTTTTTTTTTAAATCTCAAGAAAATCATTCTAAAAACAGGTTGTAAAAACTCTTCTTTTGGAACAAATGTTTTTCCACTGAAGATAGAAAAACATTGACTATTTTTTGCTGTTGTCCTAACCATTCAATAAACATGAGAAATTTTGAAATGACAGAACACCTATTTTTGTTCTATGTGATCCTAAATGTACCGTATAGCAAAAAAAAAAAAAAAAAATTGTGATATATTGATAACTTTTCATTATAAAAAATTCAGGGGGGCCACTCAAATCAAGTTTCAAATTTCCCTGATTTTTCCAGGTAAAAATCTTAAAATTTCCTGATCAACGTGCCTTTTTTATTCTCATAAAGTGTAGGATGGATACAAGAAAAGTGTCAATATAATAAAGTATTTTATTTAAAATGTTATTTTTTTAATATATTATCTTGAAAAAATAATTAGCCTAAATTCATTTTTAAAACTTAGCAAGATTGTTTATTTTTTAATGTTTAGGTACAACATTAATTTCTAAAAAATTAAGATAGATGAGTGAAACAAAATATTGCATAATATCACACATTTTGATAAATTTTTAAGGTGTTAAGTGAAAAACTCAAACCTTTTCAAAACTCAAAGTGCCCTTTTCTGTGAGGAAGCACCCTGCCTTCTTTATCTCATTGGGAGAACTCTGGTACCAACTTATTACATATATATATATATATATTAATTAATTTTAATCGGAAAAACACGTGGATTAAAAAAAAAAATGTAATAAAAAAATAGTGACTGATAAAATTTAATTTTCTTTATCAATTAAGAAAAATAATTTATATCTTTGACAAAAATGGGCCCTAAAAATAAAACCTGGTTCGACCATAGAATATTATAGTATAGCTTTATAATTTTCAAGTGGAACAGCAATTCCCATGCTTTACACGAGTTTTGAAAAACAAGTTTAATTGAACTCATTTACCAGACCTTGGCGATAAAGGATTAAGAAAATTAACAATAAAAACAATAATTTATAACAGATTATAAAACACTATTCATCCCAAAAAATTTCTTAATAAAAAATAAGAATAGAAAATCCGAAGTTCATCCCCCCTTCTTTCTATCATGTAACAATAATCCCATTTTCAATCGAAAGTTTTCCAAGGCACAAAACTATGGTATGTTACAGTTTTGTAAAATTTGGCTCCATGCCAAATGGGTGAAAAAGGAACTCCTGCATAGAAAATGTGATTTATGGGAAGTATCAGCGCAAAAATCACACCTTTGGCTCTCGCAAAATCTAACTGCCAGACTTTTGGAGATTCAGACAAAAAATTTTTTAATTTACTGATATTTTGGAAGATTTCTAAAATGCCTGACTTTTCTGGTTTTCTAGGTAGCGTAGCAACCCTGAATTTGCACTTGCATCAAATTATGCACAAAGCTAATCATTTAACAAATCTCTTTAATGGTAATTTATAATAGCATATTAATGTCATTTACACTAAAAAGTAATAATTGCAAAACTGTTAATAAGTGTAGACACAGATTTCAATAAGTTTACCTCAAAATGTAATGTAATAAGGTAGTATCATAGAATTATGTTACAAATAAAGAAAATGCTCTTAGCCTTAAACTCTTAATTGAGAAAACAATTCAAAAAATGTAATAATGACAGTTAAAAAAAGGAAAATAAATATTACAGATACTTTTGAATATAGTATACAAAAATATTTTACAGGAAAAAGCCTTTATGACTTTTTTTTTTATGCTGATGATAAAAAAAAAAATGGAAATTAATTTGGGAAAACAATTCAAAATAATTCAGTTTAAAAGAGCATTTTTTTACTCAAATAGTTTTTGAAATGACACAACTGCAGTAAAGAAACACCTTTGTAAAACAAACACAAATATTACCTTGAAATTATCATCAAATAAAAAAGGATCAGCAGTTTTGTTTAGATGCAAAAATTTCACCTTTATCAAATTTAAATTCTTACCAGTAAGCGATAAAGATATAGATACTCTGTAGCAGCTTGATAAATACCACACTCGTACTGACTTTTAGCTAAAACGTAAACTGAATCCAAACTTTCAACTTTGAACTAAAATAAGATTACATTATCAGTTCAAAAAATTGTACATAAAAAAGTTTATATAAATAGATAAAAGTAAGAGCTAAGAATCAAATAAAATTTTTATAAACTGGATGAAGAACTTCTTATTGAATGAAACAAGTACAGAGGTGACCAATGATCAGTTAAATAATTTTTTCTTAAAAAAAAAAAAAAAAGTAATCTTACAGCATTATTGTATTTTAATAGAAATAAGTATTATTCATAAGATCTTTTGTCATTGGCTCTATCCCTTTCCTAATTGTATTTTTTGAGGAATTTTGAATAATCTACATTTTTATTTTAATGAGTAAGTATTCATAAATCGAATCAACAAGCATTCAAATGAATCATAAGTTATTCTCAATTTAATGAGTACAAGAGCAAAATAACCATAAAACCATATTTTTATCAGGGATGAGAGCAGTCAGAAAGTAAAAAAGAGGAAATCTAAGAATGAATGTATATAAATATATATATAGAAAAAGCTATGATATCTAAAAATTTGACAAAAAGAAGTGTGATTTTTGAATCATGTGATTATAAACCAGATGATTAATTTTAAAATTGTATGAATATAAATTACATAAACGTGAATCACATGTATGATTTTAAAATCGTGTGATTAAGTAGTGTAATATTTGATTTTCAATTGAGAGAATGATATGATCTTTTAAATCAGGTGAATATGAAACTCAACAGTAAATTTAAAAAATGCGAAAATACAAATCATGAGGCCTTATTTTAATATCACGTAAATACGAATCCCAAGGTCTAATTTTTAAATCACGTATAAATACGAAAATCATTGTTTGATATTACAACCGCAAAAAGGAGTTTCGACATTGGACTTTAAGCTCGTGTGAATACAAGTCGGTGCATAGGGTTTTAAAAACACGCAAATACAAATCGTGATATTGGATTTTTAATTCTTGCAATAAAGAATCACAATGTACGATATTTAAATCGCGATAATAAGAATCACAATGCGCAACTTTTAAACCAGGTAAATACAAAAATCGATGCTTGATAATAAAATCATGTGAATAAGAATCGAGATATTAGCAGATTCTGGGCTTGGTATTTCTAAAAGGCCTGTTTGTATTGCTTTTGTTTAGCCATAATAAATGAAAATTTACAAGATTAATTGAATGAGCAAATAAATATTTTCACTGCAAAACCAACAATATTTTTTTAATTACTTTGTTTGCTTTCGCGCCAGATTACAGGAAGCAGGGACGTCTGAATTACGAAAATGCAACCTATCTGGTGTGCGGGAAAAATATGGAAATCTTATTTTTTGCCTGTAAAAGAGGAGAAAATTGATAAAATAAGTAAAAATGCAGAAGGGTTAGCAGCTATGACGTAGTTTGAATTTTCTGTTTATCTTTGAAAATCAGAAATAAAAGTTATTATTTTATTTCAACGACCGAATTTTCAGAAAAAGCGGAATATATATGTATTAAAAAAATTTAAAAAAAACTTTTAGAGAATCGGAGTTTTTGATAAACAGGCTGAGATTCGACAGATAAAAGCGAAAATCTGCTAAAAAGCGGAAAAATATCGTCCCTATTTTATAAATTGGAAAAATTTAATTCCAGGAATTTCTGCAGATAGATTATATATATATATAAAAAAAAAGTAGTGATGATATAAAAAAAGTAGTTGAATTGAAAAAATTTCACTGCACTTAGAACCTTAATCTCAAGTTTAAGAATAAGAATCACAATGCAATGGCTACCTTCTGATGAAATGATTTAAGTTCGAACCTTGGTGATAATTGCTCAATTTGTATACCCTGGCTTGTACTGATTACAAAGCAGACATAAAATATAACTAATAGTTGATTGACCATTGGTTAGAATCCCCTTGTCTTTAAACTAACCATAGTAGGTCATCTTTCTCCATGTAAATGATGCAAGTTCGTTCACTTAAAAGTCCGCATCTTACCGAGAGTCTTACCAAAAACTTAATTTTGAAGCTAACTGAAAGACTTCTCTTGTTTTTCAGGTTAGGTTGAAAGTAACAAGACTACGGAGAAAAACACATTTTCATAATATAGCAGAAATCGGATTAAAAATCAAACAAAAATCAGAAGTCAAGTAAAAATCAAAGAAACAGGAATTAATGGAAAGCGGAGGATTCTCACTCCTTTAGCAGGTCGCGAGTGGAAAAAAATTATTATTTCTGGAAAAGAGTTGTTTATTTTGATTGTTAAAAAATGCCCAGTAAAGAGATCTCTCCATTAATCAGACGAATAAGGGACTTTGCACATGTATTTCATAAAAAAAACTATAAAATTAAATATCAAATGGAAAGTATAAAAAAAAACTAAAATATCTAAATTAATAAATGAACTAAACTAAAATATTTATGTGTAACATGTTTCATACTATTTGGATCGCTAAAATGTAGACTTCTGAGAGCAAAACATTAAACTCTCTCTACAATACATTGTATAAACACAAAGATAACACAAAAATCCAAAAACTTTTGAAACAATTATTTGTATAAATGAAGTTTATTATTATGGATACAATATGCTCAATAGTTACAAAATAGTTAATACTTACATTTTTACTTTTAACAAGAAAATCAAGTAGTGTACGCCCATCTCTGAAAATAATTAAATGAAATTACTTTACAATAATGTTCTACACGATTAAAATCAGAAACATTTAGTCACATCTATATTTTTTAAACTAGAAAGGTAGGAGCAATGAACAGATAAGCTTATCCGTTCAAATCCTATCTGTACCACTTTTCAAAAAGAAATTCACAAAACTATAAAAATTAATAAACTGAACAAATAATTTTCTTTAATTATTTTTTAGCACAATTATAACAGATTAATTTACGAGAATTTATCAAACACAGTCGATAAATCACCTGGTTTGTTCGATTTGTTTAGTAACAGCTGGATCCTTTAAAATGTCTCTAATATAAGTGATTGCATCTTGATTATGTCTTAGCTCACTTACAACTTCTGCTCTTTTGTCCAATAGTTCTATAAAAAAATAATTCTTGTTAATTACTATGATCATTATAATCAAAATCAAATAATACACATAATCAAAAGATGAACAAATTGAAAATATTCTCAGCTGTCCTCTAAACAGTTATCAAAAGTAACCTTTCTTAAAGTATATATATATATANTAAGTTCAAAATGTAGAATAGAACAAAGAAAAATTATAGACACATGAAAAGAAAAAAAAAAGGGGGGGGGGAATAATAAGTAATTTTTTTTCTTAACTTTCTTCAAGTTTTCTTGTGTATATATATATAAATCCCCCAACAACCAGATATTGATCAGATCAATAACCAGATTAATTTGTTTTTAGCAATGTGCTTTGTAGTGAAATGCACTTTCTTAAGCATAGTAAGATAAAATAAATAAATAAGAATCTGAGCACAAAATTCAAAAGTTTTTGGAGGCTCATAATATTTTCTGAAAGCAGAATGATTTTATTACATTACAAAAACGACAGAAACATTTAACTATTCAACATATTTATTTAATCATGACAAAAAAAAACAAACAATATATACATGCACAATAACATTAAAGAAAGATTAATATAAATAGTTATAAACAAAAATGAAATTAAAGAGCTACATTAATATTAACACTAAACATACCGTAACCAGTCAAAAGACTGATTATTCTATGTTGTATTGTATTGTAAAGCGTTGGCGCATGTAGAGTAAGTAACTATTGTCATATTTTAAGAATGAAGTAATATTAATAATTATGCTCCCGTAATTCTTCAGCTTCACCACAAAATTCCTTTTAAGCTTTTTTGTCAAACTTAGGTAACTATGTTTCATTTTTAGCAACAAACAAATCACATTAAAAAATTTCCAACTCTCACTGCAATTCGATGCATACTGACAGTCGTGTCTAGTTGTTTGCTCGTCTCATAACAATGGAGTAATGAATTTTTGGGCTAAATGAGCAGTTTTATCGTTTCTCTTCAGTAGCAACATATATGCAGCCAAACAACCTCGTTCTTCTACCTTGCATACTTACTTCATTTTTTTAAACAAAAAATATAAAAAAAAGTATCAGCAAAATTGCTGCCAATGTATCTGCGCATGGTGTGCATCTATATTATTGAACTATGTTGTTACAAACAGGGGTGATTGTGAGGCCAAGCCAAAATTCCGTAAAATTTTTTGAGGTAAAAAAAGTGAAGTTTAAATTGAAAAATTAGAAAAGAAATTAAGCAAGGTTCTTTTTTACCTTTTTCTCAATATTTCTTAGTTTATCTAAAATATATTTAAACTTTTACACATACCTATGATGACCTGGAGAAGTAATTAAAATTTACAAATATGTCTTTCTTTCTTGAGTTTATGATTCTAACTGTTTACTGATGAAAAATGAATATTAATCATGAATATAAGCTTATAAAGCATCTCTCTGGCTCTCTCTTACAAACAAATAAAATAAACTGTGTTTTTAAGTTCCACCTTTGAAAATTTGATTTCCGGAAACCTCTGTGATCAATGATTATTTGAAACATCTGGACCTTCGATCTCCGGAAACTTCCAGATCACTGTTTGCGAAAAGTCCGGAAATCCGGATCACAATCAGCCCTGTACAAACTAACCAATTTTTACAAATAAACTAGAAAATAATATTTTGAAGGTTACTGCATGAATAATTTTTTCCCCTGACTTCTAAGAGGAGTGAAAATTTTGAGTTTCTATAATCCTCTTTCATGTGCCGAGAAGATATCCATATCATGATCTGTGTCAGAATAATTGCTAGGTCTTGGCAGGGCAGCAGCCTGTCAGAAACGAAAAAAAAAAACAAAATCCCAGAAAGGGTTTAACCCAGCCACCAGCGTGCAAATCTCTACATATTTAAAAAAAAAAAAATAAAATAAAAAAAACATTTTCAGATTGAGAATTTATTTGCCGCTTTGGCAATTGTAGTGACAGATCAAGATACGGAAATATCCCCAATATACCTATAAATTTGAGCTATAATTTTAATTTGCATTAATAAGAATATTTTATATGAATTACATTAAATATTTTCATTAACTGTATTAATAGAACAGATACACATGCAATTCATATTACGCTTCACTAATACAATCTAAATATTCCCATACATTTCAATGACTACTACTTGATGTTAACAATGTCTGCAGCATTGCACTTTTCAGTTTTTTTTTTGTTGCCCACTATTAAATAATGCAACTCATCCCTGATTAGTGGCAAATAGATGAATATAAATACATAACTGTTTCTGAAACACAGTGATAAAACTTTTTTATAAAATTTAGAAAGAAAGGAACCTTTACCTTCGGGAATATTTGTGCCAGGATAAAGAAGTTTATGGCAATCAATAGCAAAATCAATCATCTTAGTGTTACGAACAATATCTAGCTTTGCAAGCAGCATATCTCTTTCATCATAGATCTAATTGGAAAGAAAAACATGCATCTTTTAAAATTAAATTACATGTTAACAATAATTTCATTCTTAAAAGATTGATTTTATTGATACAAACACATTTCATTTTAATTAAATGTAAATTTACACAAGACTCTTGACTTAAATTATCAGCAAATAAACTGTCTGCTACATTTCAGATTTTCAAATTCATGACTAAATCCAAGAATTTTTCATGACTTAACGAAGTTACTATTTTCTCCAACAAAAACTCAACAATAAATTAAAAAAAGCATTATAATAACATTCATTGAAATGCTAGGTACTCACTGAACGATTGGTAATGATAATTGTATTAAAACGATAGGTAAATGATAGCTATTCACCAAAAACTGTCATACTCTGCATCTTCATATTTATAGATTTTAAATTTAAAAAAACAGAGTAAAGGAAGAGTTGAAGCAAAAAAATAGCTGAAAAAATACAAAAGCAAATAATTTTTTCTTCTCTTTTTCTGCAGAATTACATTCTAAAGATACTTTTCTTGTTCATCAGAAAGGAAAGAAATACTCCTGATTTTTCTGTTTTCATTTCGGAATAAAAAAATTTGCCATTAATTGCCTTGCTTCAGCTAAAATTTTAAATTGATAAAGTAAAAAAAAGAAATAATAACAAAAATTCTGAAATCACAGAAGTTTAAAAGATAATTCGCTCAAGAAATGTTTTTTCTTGCATTTTTTGAAAGAACACCATAATTTTTAAAGAACACGATNTATCTAGGTTTTTCTGAGAGGTACATATTTTGTGAAAATTTAGACATAATTTGTGAAAAATTAAAAATTATATTAAAAAATCAACATAAAAATATGGATTTATCGTTTCTTAAGGAATACAAAAATAAAATTTTAAGAGAAAGTATTTTGTGAAACTACCGTTTTTCCTAAAGTTGAATTTGTGAAGGTACCATTAAACGGTAGTAAATTCGGCCTGAACAGATCCCTGCATCTTGTTATTGATAAATACATAACTGCAAATTTATATACAGTAATTGAAAAAAATTAACATTTATGTATAAATTTTGATTTCAAAAAATTTTTTTCACTCAAAATAATCACATTATGTACATAAATTTAAAATAGACCTATTAGTTTAGGAGTCAAAGTTAATTATTTTCAAAAAAAGCTTTATTTCACTTTAAAAAAAATCGCTCTATTTGGTCAATATTTTAAAACTTTTCTCAACTACTGTACATATTGGCAGAAATACTGAACACTTTGCATGCATGCAATAAGATGCTAAGTTGTGGACACTACAGTTATAATTGATTTATATCAGGTATGAATCTAGTTATGTTTCTAAAGAAATATGTTCTATGAAAAACAAAAGTTGCAGAAATCTGAACTTTCTGTAGCAAAATTCAGAATTTTTAGAGGTGATATCGATTCACAAGGTATTACTATACATACGTTAAAACAGAAAATTATATCTCGAGTACACAGAAATATAACTTTTCCCAAAATAATAATAATAAAAAAATTTCAGAGCGGGATAAACTTATTAATTCAAAAAATTAATTTTAATGAAACTCTTAAGAGTTAACCATAACACAAAGTTGTTTGAAAACATTTGTTGGAATACTAACGATTTGTATACACATACCTCTTTAACAGACATAAATTCTAAGAGAGGAAATACTAAATGTCGGTCTAAATACTGTGCAATTTTTGGCGTTAAATCCCATTTCGCCATGATTAGAATCTTTTTAATTATTCTACAAAATCTGATACTTTATTCACGTGGACAATTCACCACAAATTCACCACCGCCATATATTCGGCTGCTGTAATCATTAATTGCAATGTGATTCCGGCTGTTTATTTCTACCCGTCTTTCAGTTTCATGCGCTGAGCCCGCTTTGGCCTAGAGACAACCGTACCGCGATCTCTCCAACAATCAAGAGAATGTTAACGTCACAACGCTCGGCGATCGCAACGCTCTCCATGCCTTTGGCTCTTCCCCCTTTCCTCTCCTGCTCTTCTCAGTTGTATAAGAATGTACAATCCGCAAAAAAAAAAAAAAAAAAAAAAAAAAAAAAAAAAAAAAAAAAAAAAAAAAAAAAANAAAAAAAAAAAAATATCACCCGGAATAACTTTTGTTTTAATGATCGGATTTTCACGTACTAAGTGTCAATCTTAATGGCTCGGGGGGCGACCTCAAATATGCAAATTATTTATTGCTAACTATTATTAAAAACGTACTTTTTCTGAATCAACATATATTATTTTCAACATATTTGGATTCTTAACCTTCAAAATATCGGGGGTAGCCGCAATCTGGGAAATGATCCCCATAGATCGATCCAAAGAGAGCGATCCAAAGTTCGGACCACTTAATGTTAATTTCACATTTTGCGTTTTCAGTCATATTTTTAAAACTAATTAAGCAATTCAAAAGAAAAAAATGCACTTACTTATAAAACCCATTCACCCAAAGATAATATATATATATATATATATATAGATAGATAGATAGATGTTTATATATGCATATATCAAAATGTTTTTAAAATAAATGTCACCTAACATTTACTAAGTTTTTCAATTTTATTGAAAAGAAATACCGTGAATTTTATTAAACCTTCTAAATGTGCATCAGAATCGCCATCTTTATCTGGACATCCAAATTTTTTGCAGGATCTTTTTCTTTCTTTCTAAAAAACTCGAACTGAGATGAAAAAGTAATTAGCCCTGCAACTTTTCATAAATTTATAATAACTTATGTAAATTTGGTTGTAGTATAAAATTTTCATACAAATAACGTTAAAACAGCTTTAAAAAAATAAAAAAAATTCAGATAATAAGTTCTACCGTTCAGATATTAAAATCTTAGAAAATCATAAATAATTCAGTAATACAAATTTTATTTTCAAAGAATTAAAAAAAAAAAGTTTTTTTTTTTTTTTTTTTTTTTTTTTTTTTTTTTNTTTTTTTTTTTTTTTTTTTTTTTTTTTTTTTGCCCAGAAAGTACATCCGAAAATTCTCCACTTGGTTGTTAATCTACAGAGACACACAATGTTTTGCCGTCTTGTCATTCATCCAGTTTTTTATAGCTGTTTTCAATTGTTTCACTCTCTATGGCTAGTAATTTGGCATTATTTTTAACTTTGGCCATACATATAAATTTTATAAATTTTTATTGTGACTCAATTTACGGCCCAATTTTTTTCGAAATTTTGTCTACCCCCCTATTTTAAGGATCAGGATTCCAAATATGTTAAAAAAATACATGTTTATTTAGAGAAAGTACGTTTTTGTGTCTGATTTCGTAACTTAATTAATAGTTAGCACTTATTAATTAGCATATTTGAGGTCACCTCCAATAACTATTAGGATTGACACTTAGTTCGTGAAAATCCGATCATTAGAACGAAAGTTATTTAGATGATTTTGCTCTCTTTTTTTTTTTTTTTTTTTTTTTTTCAGACTGTACTACGATATTTTTCCTTTTCTTAACATTTTTCGTATTTAATTGTTAAATATCTTTTTCAAATTTCCATGACGCTTTCTCTTAGAGCTATGTTCAATGTAGTTTTCAGTTCCATATAGTTACCTAACTTAAAAGATTTTAATCTATTTAAAAATCAAGACAGAAACTATCGTACTTCCCTTTTCTATGACTCTCCACAGGCTAAAGGTGAAAGCATGCGAAGTGTTGCCATAGGTAGAGAGTTCTGCTCTACGCCACCTGTAGCCCATTTCGATTGCCAATTTGAGTTCTCTTTAAAATTTGTCGTAAGACTTCCGAGTTACTGCTTCCGATTGATTTTTTTGCCTAAGCTTGAAAAAGTGAGGCCGTTCAATATTATTTACTTAAAGTGTTTTCTATCTAGCGCGTTCTTTCAATTTAACTTTCAACGAAACAAACAACAAATTAATTCCGAAGAATCCGCAACCTTGCTATAATGCTACCCAAAAAAATAACAAATGGTGCAATTTTATTCAAATATACCCGAAAAAGGGATAACTCTCAAAATATGGCAAACCTTACACTTTATTTATGTTGTGATATTAATTTTCTTAAATTCGTTTTAGGTTCACGACCTGTTAGAATTTATAAATTACGGGAAACTCTTATGAATGGTAAAATTATGCACAAATTTAATTTCAAATCACAATAATAAAATTTCCTAGAATATTAAAAAGGAAATGAACACAGATCAAAATCGCCTGTTACGATTCGTATTATTATCCGTAATCGACGCAGCAAAAATGCTTTCAACCCAAATTTAACAACTAAATGAAGAATTTCATATTAAATTTTTTAAACACTAGGCATAATCATTACGGTGATAAGTCCCGGACGCCCGGACTTCGGGGTTGGAATGGTTGGGTACATTATAGCTGTAAACAGCGCCCTCGAAAAACATTTTCGCGCTCCGAGCTATACTAAAAACGACACCCTTAAAACTTAATTTTGGAGAAAAAAAATCTGATTTTTTTTAAAAAATAAATTGAATTATTTCGCCTGTGTACTCACAACGCTGTCGAAAATTTCTTTTTTTTCTATTATTCTATATCTTCTTTTTCTATATCAAGCCAAAATTCTCCTTTAGGAAACATAAGAGCAAGATAAATAACG